ATGCTTTAGGAATTTCCGAAACGATTTTAGGGGATTTCTTGACAAAACCATTACTACTCCCCTACCCCCCCACGTCTTTTTATTCTTGTAGAATCGTTTATGTTTATTATCGCAGCTGTTTTGTCTTTATTCTCTTATTTATATATGATACCATTGCATTTTGATCTTATGGATTTATTTTTATGGAGAAAAATTACACATTTTTCTTAGCAGTATTCTATATCTAATATTATTGGTAATATGTACACGGAGAAATTTGTACATACAAATCTGGTATGGCGTGAAAGAAAATTTTTTATTTTTCTCAATAGTTTTAATATTAGCACAACAATTTTGAATTGTTAACAACAAAAAATTGTAGCAACAAGAACCAGATTTATTAGTTCTACAATCTGACAAAAGGGTTTGGTTGTGACAACAAAATTTTTGGTCGATTAAGCAACCACAGTTCTTCTTTTGTTGCCTCAATAAAATTTTGATTGTCTCAGTCAAACTTTGGCTGACACAATCATAATTAGAAAGAAAAAGGATTTTTGCTGCCTGAACAAAAGTTTTATTAGGACAACTAAAATTTTGTTGACGCAACGAAAAAATTTTGGTTGCTTAAATACCAATCAAACGTTTAGTTGTCAAAATCAAACCCTTTTTCCGGTGTAAATTAACAATATGATTATTATTGTAACAAATCCTTTTACTCTTTGTAGTTAAATTTTATAATTATGATTATAATTAACTTTGATAATTAAGACAATACATTAATGCGTATTAGTTGAATCATAAATCATGTAGGCTTCTATTGTAAAATGGAGTTTATTATAACGTGAATCATCTCTGCTCTCCTTTATATACAAACTTTGATGGAAATTCGCGTATGGGATTTAATGAATCGCTCGTAACATTGAACAGGCATTTATGTTCGTCTATATATAGATATATTGAACCGATTGTCACACATTTGGTCCAGCTGTTGATGCAGTTTGCCATCTGACGAAGATAACTACGTTTTAATAAATGATTTATTGATTATTGACATGATGAGTACGTTCACCTTAAAAGTTGATTTTAGTATTTGAAAGAGTTTACACAGTCGGCCAATATAAACCACACATACACACAGAGGAAAGAAATCGATTGTCCCAAACGCGAAGGGATTGGAACTCGAAGAAGAGCTTCAAGTTGCCACTTAACGAAAACCAAGATCACCACGTCTACTTCTCAATGGAACTCTTTCCGAAATTGTCTTCTTGTCGATCCTCCTTTTTCCTTTGGTCCTTCCTTTTAGATAAGAGGCGCTCTCTCTCTCTCTTCGTTTTTTCCTTTCGATTCTAGCCATTTCAATTCTTTCCATTTTGCTTTTATTCTAGTTTCTAAATCACTGGTGGTTTGATATCCACCAACCAACTTTACGTCCAGGATACCACCTGGTTGTTTCTTTTTTCGCTTTCTCTAACTTTTTTTTTCTCTTTTTATCCTTTTTTTTAACAATGTCACTTTATGAAGTGGGTTTTATTCTTAACTTCTCCATTAAGAGTATGTACATAATAATAAGAAGATTAAACTGTAATGTTTCCGGCATTGGAAAGTGGGTCAAAAATCGAGGCGCATGAATTTTCTCCAAATTTCAAATGGCCTAACACTTAATTGACCAAAATTCAAATGGTCTAACACTTAATTGACCTGAATTCAATTGGTCTAAAAGTCGTATGGACTAATTGTTACTTGGCCAAATCTGTTTATGACCTAATTCTTATTTGTTCTAATATTCATTTAATATAATTCTCATTTGTACTAATCGTCATTTGTCCTAATTCTCATTTAACCTAATCTTAATCTAACTTAATTCTTATTTGATATACTATTTATCTGCCCTAAATCTCACTTGGCTTAAATTTTCTGTAACCTAATACTTTTTTGGCATTATTTTTACAGTTTTTATTACTTGGCCTAAACATCATTTGTGACGCTCCACGAGAGAAGGGACCTATCCCCGAAATAACATTAGGCTCAGTTTTTCGTGCACCGTACATGAAAACTAAGCCTAATATTATTTCGGAGATAGGTCCCTTCTCTCGTGGAGCGTTACATTTGTCATAATTCTCATTTGAAATAATTTTCATCTGGCCTTATTATCATTTGAACTAAACGCCGCTTAAACTAATCTTCATTTGACCTGATGTTTATATACCTAACGTAATTGTCATTCGGCCTAAACATAATATAACCTAATTGTTATTTGTTCTAACAATTACCTGACCTAACTTTCATTTGGCCTAATTCTCAATTGGCCTAATCCTCACTTGATCTTATTCTCACCTGACCTAAATGGTCCCATAACGGCGCGAATGCAGAATGCAAAGCAGAAAACCATGAGTGCAGAAGAGATAGAAATATATCGTTATCCATTTCACTCTCATTATTTTCTCCTTTTCATTCTGCATTTGCGCCGTCATAGGATTGAGGCCTTAAGTCAGATAAATATTAAAACAAATAACAATTAGGTTATAGTATGTTTAGGCCGAATTAGAATTTGGTTATATAAAAATCAGGTCAAATGAAAATTAGTTTGAGCGGCGTTTAATTCAATTGATAATTAGACCAGATGAAAATTATTTGAAATGAGAATTATGGCAAATGATGTTTAGAACAAGTAATAATTAGGTCAGATAAAAATGAGGCCAAAAAAGTATTAGGTTACAGATTTAGGCCAAGTAAGATTTAGGGCAGATAAATATTATAGCAAATAAGAATTAGGTTACATTAAGATATTAGGTCACATGAGAATTAGGACAAATGACGATTAGTACAAATGAAAATTAGATTGAATGAAGATTAATTCGGAATTTTTCTCAAAATTCTGTATGATTGGTTCTGACCCAATTCTGACCAATCAAGCACTTAAACCATATAGAGAGCAGGCGATGTAGGAACTAGTTTGGAGGTTAGATATAGTTTTATGTATCATCAACAATTTACAAATTTTCTATAAAAGTCAGGTCGGTTCGGAAGTTAGGGCTCTCTTTGGTATGAAAAATTGTAATATTTGAAACAAAAAGCCTCTCGCAGTGTATTTTTGTGATTCGTGTAAAAAATAAAACACGGTAAAGGTTAAACAAATGTTAAAGGTCTTTTAAAGTAGAATATTTATTATTTGGAGTAAGATAAAAATATATATGGTTAAGTTAAATTAAACTTTATTCCAGAATAAACATATAAATATAAATGATCTTTTTGAGAGAAGCAATAATCGTTTTTAAATTGACAGAACAAAATCAGTTTATATTTCCGTCATTTATATTTTTACAAAATTGCTTTTGAAAATTAAATGAACCTTTTTTGAACCAGAAGTTGTCATTTCTCTCTTGTTTAAATTATTCGTTGATTAAGTTTAAAGACTATTTTTGCAGTTACAATTCATTGCTGATATAAATGTGATTTGATATATATAAAAAGCAATTGTCTTAAACTTCAGAGAATAAAATCAATTTATGAATTTCGACATTTATTTTCACATTCATTTCGAGATTTAAAATTATTCTCATTTCCAAAGCATCCGCCATATGTAAAACTAACACATTTTTTTTTAGATGAATCATATCCATAACGGATAAAAGAACCCCAACATGGACCAGGTTCCAATGGCAAGTCACAAACTTGTAAAAGTAAAAAAATGTCAAAATTTTTATGTCAACAAAAAAAATATATACTATAGTAATAATAATAAATACCCGCAAATTTTTATTTTCATTGTGAATACCATATAAAGAAACACCCAAAATTCATGGTTTTTGTATAAAATATGCAAAATTAAAAAAAAAAAAAATTTGTAGTCGAAAATTTTAGATCTAATTGAAATACATTTTTATATACCCCCCTCTCCCAATATACTGCCGTGCAAAACTGAAATACCGTAACTTAGGTTATATTGCCCATTATTTTTCTTTTTTAAAAATATATGGAAATTAAAATTATGAAAAATTTGATTTGAATATTTTTTTTTTTTTTTTTTTTTATTTGCATATAATATAGCCTACGGTCAACGACCATTAAAGGGCATTACAATCAAAAGCATACAGAGTAATTAATATTAGTATAACCAAAAAAAAGAAAAAATTTGTAAAATTTGTAATATGATAAAAATAATTATTTCTACCTTTCGAGGATCAAATGATGACCTAAATAAAAAAAACAAGTTACTGTATTTCAGTTGTGCACGTCAGTATATAGATAAAGTGTAGTTTGGTTTCTGATTCATACAACTTTATTTTTGTATGATTATGTAATTGTTATATCGTTTTTATATACTCATAGTATTAAATAAAATAATAAGATTTTAAATAAAAAAATTTTAATTTTATTATTAATTTATTTTTATTTTATTTAAATTATTAAATGAACTTACTGTTATTTGACAGCACATTTTCAGAATGTGTGACAATGTAAAAAATAAGGAAAATTAAAATAATTTTCATATTATTGATTATAGAATTATAATCAGTGAACTTAGTTGTATAATTAATGCAAATGAATTATTTTCAAATGTAATTATAAATTAATTTTTTTCTCGTTTGTTTTAAACGATTGCAAATAATAAATGAACTGAATAGTTTCTAACTATAAATAATTCGTTATAAGATAATGCGTCGAGTTTATATATTTAAAAACACAGTGTAATATTGAATTCCTTGAAATACAATTAAAAAAATAATAATTGTTATTGAAAAGAAAAATTTTTCAATTCAATAAAAATATTATTGCTTATATTAATAATATTAGCTTATTTCCTTATTTTTCTTTAGAAAATTTTCCTATCATAAGTGATAAAAATAGATATGTATATGTGACAATTTTTTTTTTTTTTTACTGAAAATATGACGTAGATTTTTGTAATAAAGATACATGATCGTTTTGAAAAATAAGATTTTTTTCTCATTTTAAAAATTCTATATATATTTCAAGAGTAGATTTAACTTTGTTTTATTAATTAAAATAATTAAATAATAAATTAGGAAATTTTACTTTATTTTTAAAAATGAAATAATTTCTTGAATATTTCAATTATTTTTCTAAAGAAACTACTGCTGCACTTTGCTTTACATTCTGTCTCGCTTTTAAAATTATTTCCATTTCCTTGGCATCCTCCATATGTAAAAGAGACACATTTTCTCTTAGAACCAACATATCCGTATCGTAGAAAGTAAGCTTTACATAGTCCAGTTTCCAAGGGCAAGTTACACACTTTTAAAATATTTAAAAAAATTTTGATATTTGAAAATTATTATTTAGTTAGATTATATATTTAGTTCAAAATAAATATTTATGTTTATTTAAAAATTATATAAGTATTTCATTTTTTTCTTAACTTACCATTATCGGACAATATCATTTTTGGCAATGAAATAATACAAAAAATGAAAAAGAGGATAAAAATTTTTTGTTCCATTTTTCATTTATTTATTTAAAAATATTTTTTAATGACATTTGTGTTCGATGACTATTTACTGTATTGTCTTAGTTTCTACTAACGTGGTATAAATAAACAACTAAAACTCGTTAAATTGTTGATTACAAAATTGTTTGCAATATCGCATGACTCGTATTTAATACTGGAACTTTAATTAATTTACTTTTACACTACTGAACAGGAAAAAGTTTCTAAAAATATGTTTTTTAAATTATTTGTTATATAAGTTTATATTTTTTTTTATTAAATTTTCATTTTTTTTTTAATAATTTTTTTATTTTTACTTTATTTGATAACATAAATGAAATTATTACATTCTTTGAGATTTTTCTCTTATTACGTTAATAAAATTTCGATGCGGAATTCCATACAACGTTTGTAATAAACGATTAGAAAACAAATTATTTTTTAAGGAAAAAAATTAGAAAATTTTTTAATTTTTAAAATCTATACGATTAATTGTTCAAAGTTATGAAAAAAGATAAAAAAAATTGTTCATGAAAAGTAATTGAAATTTAAGGGAGAAGTTCAAATTTTAATTTTTTCAGAATTTCGAGTTGTATTTTAATTAAATTTAAAAAAAAAATTTTTCCATACTCATACTATGTTATTGAATCAACAAGACTTTCGTTAAAATTATATAAAACGTAATTAATCCAAAAACAGATTCTGCATTGGAATTTGTAAAGTATATTAAATTCTATAAAATTTAGTTTATTTACTTTTTTAATATTTTAAAAGAATCTTTATCATAAGAGAAAAAAGATAATTCATTAATGCATATATTATTTTTTTAATTGAAAACTTCATATTAGATTTTTTATTTGATATAGAATTTCATTAGATAGAATTTTTTTTAGTCGAATTATTTTTTGACAAAATTTCCGTAAAACCAATTTTTCATATTACAGAAATCAAAAAAAATTACGTTTAATTATATAATTAAAGGGATGAAAGAAAAATTGCGTTTATAAGAATTTTTATTTGTTCGAATCAGAATGGAAAAATTTATATAAACTTTATTAAAATTAACAATTTTTTGACAGTTTGAATGAAATTTAATATTTTTTCAAGAGATTATTTTTCACATCTTATTAAATGTGTGTATGTTTTTAACGAATTTTCGTAAATGTTGTAGTATTAAGTTTGCCGAGGAAACTGGCGTTATCAAACAGATAGTGTCACAAAGCTTTCGCTTAGGCAGTGTCACATATTCATCAAGGAAAGTAGATTCTGTCTCTACTATATATATATATAAGCGAACTTATATATATTTCACTACATATAATAACGTGTACCATCTTTGCTCTAACCTATAGGATGTAATTCAAGCAATCACTGATGCATTTCATATTATATCCGCGTCATTTACGTTGAACGGAATTTCATTTTATACATCAAAGCTGATATTTTATTTCCCTTTTTTTATGAAATAATAATCCTTAAGTGCATATAATAACTTTTCAATCTTTGAACTGATTCAAGAATAAATTTCCAATAACATATTTTTATACTCTCTTTTTTAGTTCTTTTTTTATACTTTATTTTTTTTATTAAAAAAAACTGCGCTCTGCCCAGAATAGATTTATTTAAAAAAGCTCTATATGGGCTTAAATTACAGTAAACTTTGTTTATTTTTTGATGCCATATGGCACTTTTTAAATATTAAACATGGAGGACCATAAATGTTAAAAAAAAATCTTCAATATTATCGAAAAAAGTAATATTTTTTTAAATAAAAGGTTAAAACTTTTTTTTAGAATAAAAATCGATTACCGGCACAGAAATCTGCATTATTGACTGATGGTAAAAGCAGGAAAATGATGATATAAAAAATGACCGACATAGAAATTTACATTACCGACAGATGGATTAAGAGGAAGAATTTTTTTAATTTTGAAATTTGTTTTACTATCAGTCGGTAATGTAGATTTTTATGTCGGTAAATTTGTGCATCAGCTTTTTCCTGGTTTTACCATCAGTCGATAATGTAGATATCTGTGCCGGTAATCGATTTTTATTTTAGAAAATAAGTTTTAACCTTGTATTGAAAAAAATATTACTTTTTTCGATAATATTGAAGGTTTATTTTTAACATTTGTGGTCCTCCATGTTTAATATTTAAAAAGTGCCATACGGCATCAAAAAATAGGCAAAATTTGCTGTAATTTATCCCTATATAGAGCTTTATTTAATTAAATCTATTTTGGGCAGACTTTTTGATTAAGAATGCCCCATATGTTTTATTTGAATCCTTATTTAAGTTCAAGATGATTTAGAATAAAACAAAAAAAAAATTGGTTTTTATTATTCCAAGACGCGTAATCCCAAAAATTCTATATCATTCTCAATTTGTTTAATTATATTTCAAGAAGTTTAAATTTTTCAATTTATAAAGTATGTAAAAAAATATCTATCACCTACAGATTTATTCACACTCCCCATGAATTTAAGATTTAATGTTTATTTCTTTTACTTTTGTATTTAAAACAACTATAGTTTATTCATAAACTTCGAAGGGCGACATGAATGATGAATGGATTTTGAAGGATTTTACTATTCACACTAAACATGCAACTTTAACATTAGTCTGTGTTATTTTCAACCTCTGCTATAAATGTACATGTATATATATATATATATATATATATATATATATATATTCAAAAGATTTTGTTAAAAGAAAAAAAATACGGTTTCTATTTTCTAATTTACGACAAAAGGTCCACTAAATTATCTATAAGAAACAAATTTCTATTTTCCAATTTGTAGAGAGCTGTATGTATCAATTCTCTTAAACGTCAAAGCTCTTTAGAGAGGATTTGCAGTTTTTTTTCAAAGAAAATTCCCTGAAAAGATCACGAGATATTGAAAAGCAGAAAGGTGGTGCACACACACTCACACGCACACACGAGAGATTCTTTGACACTTTTATGTTTATTTATAATGTTGAGTCGATGAAACCAATTTTCAAGATTACAGTTTTCAGTGAGTCTTTTACGTATGTGATCTTTTTTTCTGTACACTTTTTTGTTTGTTTAAAAAAAGAAGAAAGATGTTTTTATTTGAGTTTTCTTCGTTCGGATTTAAAAAAAAAGAAAAGGGAAAGATTCTTTTCATTACGGTTGTTTAGATTTTTTTTTCAAAAAACAAGTTCTCTAAATTTTTTTCTTTTTATGTCATTTGAAAATATAGCATTTTTGCTTTGATGAAAAATGAATAGAAAGACTTTTTATTTCTAAAGATTCACTTATAATTATAAGGTATTCCACGCCAAATCAGACACCTCTTTGAATTTACATTTCCGATTTTTTTGAAACTTTAGTTTTCTTTTTATGTACTAATTGATGCTAGCATTCATGATTTTTTTCAATTTTTTTTAGCAAACCGTTTACGAGATATGAATTTTTGTAAATTTCAGAATTTTAATGATTTTTCATTTTTGAATGCTCATAACTTTCTTAAAAATGCATTCAATTTTAAAAGTTTTTTTTTTTTATTGTGTATTGACATGGTATTAATTTTGAAGATTATGGATTTTAAGAATTGAAAAACAAATTTTAAAGCAATTTTTCATAGACTTGGGTCATTTTTATAATATTTAAAAATATCGTAAAAGATAGCTTAAATTCGACTTGCAAAATTTTTTATAAATTAAATATAACTTTTAAACCATTAAAAAGATGCCATTTTACTATCTTGTGTACAAAATAACAAAATTTAAACTATCGTTTAAGATATTTTTAACTATTTTACAAATTTTCAAAGTCTATGAAAAATTGATTTAAAATTTGTTTTTCACGGGACCAAAAATATCAAATCAGGTTATTTAAAAGGGTTTTGGGTCCACATAGGGTAAAAGGTACAGTGACCGACACCCAGACAGTGAACGACACCTGCTATTAAAAACGATAATAACTATAAAAATAATAATATTTAATTAAATATCACTAGTAAATTAATTAATATACAATATTTAAAAACTTATACAGTTTATACAAAATTTTATATGTTTATATTTTCCTCAATATTTAATACTTTCTAGAAAACTAACCTCAAAAAATTTGCTTTATTGATTACAAATTTTATAAATATGAAAAAATTGTTAAATAATTATATTTTAAAAGCAACTTTTTTTGTACATTAAGTCTGAATAATAAAATTTATGATAATACTAATAAATATCATGTTACTTAAATAGAAGTTTAAATATTTTTTATTTTATTAAAGGGTGTCGTTCACTGTTTTCATACCATACATTTTTAAATTAATATTATAAACTCTTATCAAGGTGTTTTTTAATTTTAAACTTGTGTACTATAAATTTTAACCCAAATCTTTTATTTAAAATTTATTTTATAACTAAATCTTTAATAAATTACGATAAAATGTCATTTAAAGTTGAAAGTATGCCCAGGGTGTCGGTCACTGTACCCCTTACCCTAATACGTTGAAAAGTATTTTTCAAGGCATTAGTTGGATTGATAATCTTAAAAAAAAATAATTTGACATTTTTGGTCCTGTTAAAAACAATTTTCGACGTTTAGCATCGACGCCAACTTCATGGAGGTAAGTTTTAAGTATTCAAAAATCATTAAAATTTTAAAATTTTGAAAAATTCATATCTCGTAAATGGTTTGCTAAAAAAAAATTGAAAAAAAATCTCAATTATTACTAAAAGAAAACAAAGTTTCAAAAAAATCGGATATATAACTGCAAAATATATAGAATACGTTTGCCATGAAGATTTTAAATCATATTGTATAAATATATGTCATAAAGTGAAAAAGCATATATAGAAGGATGGAAGAGAAGAAAATTTCACGAGGTGCGAAACCTACATTTTTCCTCTCATGTGACTTGGGAAGTCTTGAGAGAGAAAAAGAGAGAAGGCAAGAATATAACTTTTGTGACAGTCCAAAGCTCTCCGAGCCCATATCCTCTAATGCCACGTCTTCGTAATATCGCTTAAAACGAACTTTTCGAACGAAACAGTTTCAAGTTGAAGAGTTAAAGAGTCACTTATATCTATAGATACTCGAAATGGAAAATGCTCTTTAATTGCCTTCAGATTCTTAATATGAAATGTTGAAAATTCATTTCTACATTTTATTTCATCTTGAATGTTCGCGTAATCTCATCGTATTATTATGAATTCACTTATGTTTCAAAAGAATATAATTCTGTATAAATATAATTATAAAAAAAATACAGTTTTGCACTTGCGTAAAAATTTATTTATTGTACATTTAAATTATTTGAAAGAAAATTGGGTTTTATTTTTAGATTCTTTTTCCAATTTCACTACTATAAACGTTATCGAAAAAAGTTTTCTTTTTACGTAACTGTCTTTTCTGTCAGGTTTTACTTCCAGCTACTATTTTCCTTAGATTCCTAAGATCCCATATTGTCACTTTAAAGTCACTCAGTATAATTTGTTTAACTTCTTTTCTGTTACTTCTTTCTGTTATTGCTGTACTTTTTTTATTGTTGTCAATTTATTACCCTTTTAACACTCTTAGGTGTATATAATTTTATTATTATTATCGCTGTAAATTTTATTTCTTATCAAATTTAGAAAAGAGCAAAATTATTTTTTTTTCACAAATTAAAGAAAAAAATTCACCATTAATGAAAAATAAAATTTGTTATTTTCAATATTGTTCGCCAAAACATTAAATTTCTAAGAGTTGAAGTTACCAAAAGATGGTATTTTTAAAATGTCAAATTGAGGACACCAATGCAATAACCAGACGGACGCTCGGACCGGCCGCGCTGAAGCCAGTCAACGAATGAAAAAGTCGAAAAAATTAAAATTCAAAATTTTGATTTTTGAAATATACTACGTTGTAGAAAATAAAACTGCGCATCTTTTTTTCCTTTAACTTTTTTTTGTAGAATGAATAGTTTTGATTGCAGAAAACTAAATATTTTCAATCAACAAATTTTATTGAATTTTTAAACACAAAACGTTCCAGTTCCGACAAATATTAATGAATTTACTTCAAATTTGGTATACTCACGCATTTAGGTCTAGAGAAGACGATAGCATGATGAAAAAGTTAAAAACCGTAAATTATTTAATTATTTATTAATTTAAATAATAACTTACCTGTACTCTCGTTTTCCTATCTTCGTCGACAAAAAGTCTGTGGGGAACTTTTTCGTTGAAAAAACTTCCAGTGAGACATTTGTTCCTCACATATCGAAGAAGTTTTGTGGAAAAATTCAGATCGATTTATTCAAAACTGACGAAGATACACAATTTTTAATGAAAAACACGCAACGCTTTGGCTGATTTGTGTGTTTATATTGCTGAACATCTACCTTACCGACAATGTCGAAAAAAAAAGTTTCAATCTTCTGTTAATTCGATTATTTGGTGATTCAAACTTGCAGAAATTCGATGTTTTACTAATACCGAGGGGGAATTTACTAGTTAAAAACGTGTACACTTGCATACCGGTATTACACCTCATATTACCCTTATTACTAAGTATTACACGTTATTACAAAGTATTACATATTATTACAGAGTTTTTTGCGTTATTACATCACTGTAATAACGCTTTACTACACGTTATTACATAAGTGTTACAGGATGAGTGTACACATGACTACCTGAGTAAATTCCCCCTCGAGTAATACTCAAAACAAATTTTAGACTATTTTATAAATAAACAAATGTTGATTGTTATAATAGTCTATTAAAATAATCAAATTTTCTTTAAAGAGAGAAAATCAAACGCAAACGCCGCATAGACATTGTCAATGATCTTTTGGACATGTTTATTCACGCGTGAAATTTTGTTCTTACAAAAATCGCGCTTTGGAAAAAATCGATTTCCATCTTTTTTTTTCACGTGAAAATAGGCGTTTGTCTTTGACATCAAGTGACAAACGACACGTGTGTTATTTCCACTTCAAGCTGTCAAGACTCCAAACCAGTGATGGGAAAGAAGGACTTTTTCGAGGGGTGTATATATATATAGATGGAAAAATTGTGAAAAAGACATGCAGAAATAAAAAGAGAGAGAAAATCTATATAGTGGGATGATAAGGTGAATAGCTATAGAAGTGGAATAAGAAAAAAAAAGTTGATAGAAAAAAAAGGTATATGAAAAACCATCGATCAAATTCTCTTGAGTCTCCTATCGACTAGACTATTTCTCTCTCGATCGTGAGGCAGGAACTAATGATAACTTATTTTTAAAAATGCCTTTTTTAGAGTGAACAAAGGAGTCGCATCCTTTCGCTAAAGAGAGATAAAGAGAGGCTGTTCTAATGCTATTATGTTGCCAGGGCACTTTACTTCTATTCCTCAAAGCAAAGAAGAGTAACTGATGAAGTTACGTGTCGCTAGCGAAAACCAAAGAAATTAATAGCCTGCTAGAAAATGGACAACATTGTTGCTTGTTTTTGGACATGGTTGATCAAGAACAATCAAATTGTTGGTGGAGAGTCGAGAAATGTAGACCACACTAACCTGAACGAGACAAAGTAGTCCTCAGGGACAGAAAATGTTGTGTGCAAGTGAGAAAAATGATGACTAGAATGCACTACACCCCAGAGTTCTTATAAAACTTAAAAAAAAGAGACACACAGTTCGGGATTTTCAGTGTCAAGGGAAAAAGTCTCTTTATAGGATACATGACAATGATTTATTTCTATCAAATCTAAAGAAAATATTTTCTATATATTGTAACGAGGCATTTTGTCGTGTACAAATGACCTAAAAATAATAAAGTTAAATAATTATTTTTTAAATAAACGACACCAGGGTGTAAATCCAGCCATAATGTCTGTAAAATATTATAAATTATAAAAATTGTTTTTTATACTCACTTCATTTTGTTTAAATAATAAATTTTCGTATTAACAAACCAACTTGCCAAAGTCGTCAGATTAATAGTCGACTTATAATAAATAAATTCGGTTCTGATTTGTCCTTTTGTTCGGTTATGAAAAATCTTGCGAGGCATTGAGGATTCTCGCCGGGTCACAAAGACCTTCCTCGTGTATATATATTTGGATGAGAGCCCCGAATATTTAAGAACACCGAAAAGAAGAAATTGCTGTCTTGTTGACGATCTGTCAAATCAATACTCGCAGTCAAGTTCCTATGGACATCTCGGATCCGGGATCAATCAATTTAACAACGGATAGTGCAGGAATCTACGTTACCGATGGTCGCATATCGGTTATCGATCGTGGATAAAATACTATATTGAATATTAATTAATCTGAATGACATCGAGAAGAGAGGCCACTGTTTAGCGACGCTTTCGAGTTTGACTCGTCAGCCATTTTACTCTGATTCTCATCCTGGTGTCAGTACAGTGTGATTCGTGTTTTTCCTCTATTCTTTCTTTTTTTGTGAAAACCAATTAAAAATGTAATAAATTGTATATTGTTGGACGAGGCGTCGTCGTCAAATGGGCGGTGAATTCCCAAATTAATGAATGGTGTTTCATCTTATCTCCCCCTCTCCGCGGTTTGTTAGAAAGTTTTTTCTAACATTTTTCTGAACTAGTCTGGCAATTATTAGAAATTAATTAAATTAATTTTTGACTATTTTCACGTAAAATATCCTGGCCCTAAAAATAAGTTATTCTCTTTAAATAAAAGAAATCATAATAAATAAAATTAACCTTAAAGTGTAGATAACGTTTTCTTTGATTAATCCTTGAATCATCAATCAATTAACCTTATTGTTAAATTTAATAAAAATAATTATTTAAATTAGGCTAATTGATTAAAGATTAAAAGTAAAATAATTAAAATTATACAAGTAAAATAAAAAGAACATTATATTATATATGGGGTGAAATTTCTCAAGTGATATGCAATAGCAATACTGTGAACATTGGATTTTTTACGATGCTGAAAGTACGCAACGTTTATTGTCAACGATTATAAATCAAATTTTATTTAATACAGAAAATTATAAAATTGTTTACCTAAAAAATATTTTTTTATAATTTGTTGATTAAAAAAAAATACAAGAAATATTTTTTAGACAAAAAATTGTAGAATATTTCATTTTAAAAAATCGTTTATCGTTGCATACTTCAGTTTTGTGGTTTTTTTATAAGAATCATAACAATTGTATAAAAGGATGTAAAAAATTATGACCTATACAATTTCGAAAAGGTTTTTTTTTTATTTTTAAACAAGTGTTTTTAAATCAAAGTTTGAAATTAGAAATTTACTAGATTAAATGAAAAATATCGTTTCAATATTCCAGTTTTAAAAATCAAGAAAGTTATGCTTGAAAGCAATACTTGTCCTCGAAGGGTTAATTTGTATATTAAAAGTATACATTGTCAGATACATTTTAAGGGGTAAAAAAGAATCCTTTTTTTAAAAAAGAATTAAAAAATATTTTTGATTTTAAAAAAGGAGTAAATTTTCCATTTTTAGTAAAAAAATTTTCCACCATTTCGAAAGAGCAGGAAGAAAATTTTCGAAAACATATTACTAAAAAATCTTGTTTAAAATTTCAGTCTTGTTCAAAATATTAAATATCAAAAATGCATGTTTAACAGGTTTTCAACCCCTCGTACATTTTAGTTTACATGCTTCCATTGTTTCGAAATTATTTGCATTTCCTAAGCATCCTCCGTATACAAAACTCACACATTTTCTATCGATATTACTGTATGCATATCGAGTTCTATAACGTCGACATGGTCCCGGATCTATCGGTAAATCGCAATCTGTAAAAGCAAATTTAAAATTTTTATTTGGTGTATTGTGGTATTTTTGATTATTTATTAATAACAATAATAACCTCAAAAATCAAAATAATCAATCAAAAAAAAAAATTAATAACCTAATAATATCATAACCTAAAATTGAAAAAATTTTCACTAAACATTGCAATTAAATATTCCGAACATTTTAAATAAATCTTTAGGAAAGTTTCGGTGTTGTGGGGGCACTGTTCAGGAAAAATGATGTTTGAGATTATGTCAGAAAAATAAAGATCGGAAATTATTTATTAGATTTCAATCCCCATGTTATTGAAAATTTCTTCTTTCTTTTTTATTTAGCAAAATTTATTGAACTTACCACTTACATGAGAGTGAGAAATTTCTATCATTGTTAGAATAAAAATGAATAGGAAAATTGTTAAAATTCGATTATTCATTTTTGTATTTTTTTCTCATACAAAAAAAATTCTTTATTTTCACAAATATTTTTTTCTTTTCTCTTATTGAAACGATTCAAGCTATAATAGAATGTAATAAAATTTTTTGAAGATTATATACTCGAGTAACAAAAGCAGATACGTATTTATTGTTTCATAAACCAATTTTTTTTTCCTGGTGATAATAATAATTTATTACATATTGATTTAAGGCTATCCAATTCTTTCCTTACTTTATGTTATATATGTTACTGAGTGTAATAAATAAAATAATAATAATAATAATAAAGCTGGTAATAAATAAAATAAACAGGAGATGTTTTAAGTTTTTAATTTTTAACTAAAAAATTTTTTATTATAAACTATTTGAGTTTATATTTTCTATTTTTCTATTCGCGACAATTGACGTTGTCAGTTTATCTAAAATTTTAGTTACATCTGTTTGCAAATTAAAAATCATTAGTCTTTTTTCTTAAATTAATTAAAAAAAACATTTTTTTATTTTCAACGACGAACGCATTTTCTTTTACACTCTTCTTCAGTTGGAAAATTATTAGAATTACCCATACATCCACCATAAAAAAATATTATACATCTGTTTGCAATACGGTAGTATGCCCATCGTTCAATACGTTCGGTACATGGTCCTCCATCTATAGGTTGTCTACAAGCTTTAAAAAAAATAATAATAATAATTTAGAAGTAATTTAAAAAGCCTTTTTAAATTATTTTCTGATAAAATTTGAACTGTTACTAAATTCATTAATAAATAATAATTTATCTCTAAAAGTATGCATTAAATTTTTATATTTTGTTTTTTTTATTAAGAAATAAAAAAAAATCTTTATAAAAAAATTTTAATTGCTTTTAACTATAATTTTTTTTTTTAAATATAAAATTGTCTCCTTTTATTTAATTAAACTAAAAAAATTAAAAACTCAAATTTTGATAAAATTTAATTGACTTACTTCTTTGGGAAAGAGACAATTCTGGCATTGTCATTAAGTAAACAATAAAAAGCACAGCAATAATCTTGTAATTCATTTTTTTCACAATTCTTAAAAATCGATATAATAAATAAATTTTTATATAAAATTATACTATTTGCATTAATAAAAGAATTACGACTAATGAATTTTGAGATAAATTCGACGACTTTAAATAGTCATTGTTGAGTTGATGATAAAATAATTTATTTATAAGGGGAAAAAAAGCTGTATGGCATCTTTATTGTGACATTATTTATACTTTATTATTTTACACGATTTCTTTAAAAATCTTTTGTTCTGACAAATTTTCCTTTTACAATTTACTTTGTAGCACCAATAATAAATAAACATAAGTGAAGATTGACAGATAAACGATTTTGCATTTTCTTTTTTTATAATCTTTTATATGAATTTTCTACACTGAAAAGAAAAATTTATTTGATTCCAATAATCAATTACTTGATTATTATCAAATAAATATTTATACTAAAACCATATAATTTTTATTTGAATTAATTTCTGTATTTCAAACAAATACCATTTAATTGATTCAAATAAAAATTATTTCATACAAATAAATATTTATTTGTTAATAGTCAAGTAACCGATTTTTTAAAAATATTTTTTATAATTATTTAATTTTTTTAGAATATCCCAATTTTTAATATATATTTTTTTTTACATTGTAAGAATTAATTTTTGACTATTGAAATAACATTTCAGCAGGATATTTACTGAATTATAAATAATTTTATCTTCTACATTGTCTTTCACATTCTTCTTTAGTTATGAAATTATTTGCATTTCCTTGGCATCCTCCATAAATAAATAGATCACATCGTGCTTGAGAAAATACATACCAATATCTTGGAAAAACTCCGTCGCATGGTCCCCTGTCCTTTTGTAATCTACAGGCTTTAATATATGAAAGAGGAATTTTTTTTTTTTTATTATTAATAAACCATCTATTTAAAGTACTTTGAAATAAGAAATTTTTACACTGAAAAAAAAATTTATTTGATTCAAATAATCGGTTACTTATTATCAAATAAATATTTTTATTTGTATCAAATAATTATTATTTTAGTCAATTAAATGGTATTTGGTTCAAATAGAGAAATTGTTGGTTTAAATACAATTTAGTTAATTTAAATAAATATAATATTTGCTTCAATTAAATATTTATTTAATAATAAAGTAACCGATTATATGAATCAAATAAATTTTTTTCAATGTAGAAATTATTCAAAAATATTAATAATAATTTTATTGAAAATTGAAATATTGTATAAAACTTACAAGGATTAGGAGCGATCACTTTTGACTTTGAAATAATAAAATAGATTATAAATATAACAAGAATTTTGTTATTCATTTTTCTAATTTTATTATTATTGTTTATAATATTACAAATTATTATCTTTTATCAAGTATTTTATAAATGTTTTCAGCAAAATTATTGAACAACTTTGTTAGATCCTTAGCTTACAAATGGCATATTACAAAACTTAAGAAATGTTCGCTTTTACAATTTTCCTTATTATTTATTAATATTAAAAAATATTTTTTTTTATTATCAATAAGAAAAACAATTTTTCTAAATTATCCTTGAATTATTAAAAAATTTCATAATATAATAATAATAATGGTAAATGATAAAAAAAGAATAAATAAAAATTTTATATTTTGAATAAGCAAATATATACATAAAATATATATATATGAAAAAAGATAAAGAAACATTTATGTTAAAATTATAGTTTAAGTGTTTCTACTAAAATATTAAATAAATAGAGTTTTGTAAATTTTCTTCTTATATATATATATATATATATATATATATATATATATATATATACAAGAACCTTTAATACAGGAAGGTTTACATAATTCGCAAACATGCTGGAATGTAGGGGCTCATAAAATCGAATTGCAAATTTCTATGTTCCTATCTACGGAATTCTTGTTATCATCCTGAAATGGGATATTGATTCCTAACTTAGTACGTTTACAAACAAATTGAGAAATAAGAATTTTAAGTGTCATTTCAAAAATAGTATTACATTTTATTATTACAGGAATTTAATATTTAAAAAATTCTCAATTACTTTTAATGCATCATAATAAAAGTTAGTTGACACCTTGACAAAATCTTTCACACGCATCCTTTGTTCTAAAATTATTTTCATTTCCATCACATCCACCATATTGAAATCGTTGACATGATCTTTCTGAAGGAACATAACCATATCGTCGCAGATTTGCTCTGCAAGATCCAGTTTCTAGTGGCAGTCTACAAACTGCAAGAAATTAAATAATTTTCTTTTGTGATGAATTTTTTTAATTTTTATAAAAGCAGACATTTTACAACACAAGTAAATCTGTTTACTTTGCTGAATTAAAAAAAAAAAAAGTTTATATTCATATTTATAAAAGTAATTTTTTGTCCTACTTGGACGGAAAGTGTGTTATTTTGTGCACTTGAGACGGTCGCAAAGTAAGTGATTCCTTCCCAGAGATAGGGTGAGCGGGCGCAAAGTACATTCCCGCCCGCTGACGTCATAGATGTGGGCGCAAAATACATTCCCACCCGCTGACGTCATAGAAGCGGGCGCAAAATACATTCGCGCCCGCACCATTAAAAAATGTATTGTTTATCAACTACAAATGATCCTGCCAGCCCCCCACCCCCCTTAAGCCTCTTGAAAAGATACGATGTGCCTGATCCTTAAGAGGATGCACACTTTCCATGCAGACAGGACAAAAAATGTTGTTCGCAGCGAAGGCGCAAAAGCTAATAGTGTCTCAGGCGATATTATGGGGAAACCTCGACGACCCTACGCCTTATTAGTATCGAGAATATTGAAATACATACTTCTTTCATTATGATGTCCATTTGATTGGTCAATTTTCATCATAAAAATGACACACAATAGCAAAAAAAATCCAAGAAATTTGCAATTCATTTTGAGAATTTCAAATGAAAATTTTCTAATTTTTCGATATTAATTTTGAATATATCGAATTGAAAACAATTTTTTTTTACTGTAAAACACCTTCGTTTATACAACAAGATTCTAATATAAGATCCGTAAAAAAATTTGTGACTATAGATAGTCTTTATATTTATCAAAACTGATGTGCAGTCCTGAAAAAATGTTTTATTGTACGAAAATTACCAACCGACCAATGAGTGATTACTAATAATAATAATTGTTTGTTTAATTTAAAATTTTTTTTCCTTGTTATGCTTTCTTTTTAAAAAAATTTTATGCGAACATTTTTATTATTTGTTTTATATTTTATTTATTTTATTTTTTTTATTTTATTTTTGTTTTATATTTATTCATTTTATATTTACATCTGCTCGATAAACGTTGGTTCATTAAACTGTATTTAAAATAAAATTATATTAAGGTTCTTGAAAAAACACATTAAAATTATATTGTTAATAAATAAAAATATGAGAGAAGCAGGCGTTGCTATGGAAAACGGTTGCTATGGTAACTGTTACCATAGAAACCATACGAGTGTAACATAGACGGACACCAAAGCGAAACTACAAGGCTTTCGGGCCTGTCCAGAATAGACCAAAAACATGAACGTATTCGTAACGTCACAATGTATTTTAAATGGATACATTACGTTCACGTTACGTATACGTTCATGTTTTTGGTCTATTCTGAACGGGCCCTGAGACACGAAATCCTAAAAATGATAATTATTTGTAAGGTAAATGTCCCAATTTGTGACCATGTCCCAATTTGTGTCCACTTGCACATTTATGCACGAAATAAAATAAAATACAATTTAGAAAAATATTCAAAAAAATACTTTTTGAATATTACATTATATATCTTTCGTGTAGATTTGCATTTAGGGTTTTATAGTAGGAGATCCCACTGCAAGATTTCTACACTCATCTCTTTTATGGATGAAATTGATTTGAAATGAAAGATTTTTTTATCCTGTTTCCGAAACGCATAGGGTGCCTAACCTTTTATGGTCCATTTTTTTGATACAATAAAAATTTCTGTGAAAATTTGTTGAAATGTTTCACTCATAAGTTTTATGGATGAAACTTGTATTAATGGAAAGAACATGAAAAAAATAATAAATAAATGATAGGTTGCCTCATTTCCAATGGTCTCGTTTCCTGGCAGCCACTTGAAAATTTCCCACTTTCTGTTGAAATATTTCATTCATAACTTTTATGAAAAAATCCACCACCAATGTAAAGATTGATCATTTTTCTACACGATAAGAGTAGGTTGCCTAAAAGAATATGGTCCAGAAAATTAGTTGCCACATATTAAAATTGAAAAATTTATTCGAAAGTTGAGAAGAAATTGCGCAAAATATATACGTAAAACAGGTGACAAAAGACGAACGTATCATAAATTGTTGATACGTAGAGGTTATTTGATATTAAAAATTTGTCAGAAGATAATGAATAATGCAAAATGAACGTATATAATACTCAAATAAAAAACAAATTGTTTTTCAATAATAAAAAAAGCAAAACTGTTTATAATTAAAGAATCATATTAAATTGCGATAATAAAATCCATATATTGTCGTTTGTAATTATTTTAGAAAGTCTTGCATATTACTAAATGCAAAGACATATTAAATTTATAATTATTAAATTTTATTTAAAAGTGGTAATTGCTGATTAATATTTTCGGTAATCATTTCATGAATTGTCAACGAATTATTTTATTATTTATATACGTCAAAGAAACAAAACAACAGCGTTCGTGTCATCTAGTTGCGCGGTTTTTCTCACCTTTCAAATAAATTTTTTAATTTTTAATATGTGGCAACTAATTTTCTGGACCATATTCTTTTAGGCAACCTACTCTTATCGTGTAGAAAAATGATCAATCTTTACATTGGTGGTGGATTTTTTCATAAAAGTTATAAATGAAATATTTCAACAGAAAGTGGGAATTTTTTAAGTGGCTGCTAGGAAACGAGACCATTGGAAATGAGGCAACCTATCATTTATTTCTTATTTTTTTCATGTTCTTTCCATTAATACAAGTTTCATCCATAAAACTTATGAGTGAAACATTTCAACAAATTTTTACAGAAATTTTTATTGTATCAAAAAAATGGACCATAAAAGGTTAGGCACCCTATGCGTTTCGGAAACAGGATAAAAAAATCTTTCATTTCGAATCAATTTCATCCATAAAAGAGATGAGTGTAGAAATCTTGCAGTGGGATCTTAGACTATTAGGCCCACTCTGCCAAAACGAGGAAAGTATGCCGCCATCTTATAAAGATTGTCATTAGACAGGTTAACAGAATGTTGTTAGCACAGGATAATTAACGTCTAATATTGAATTAAATTGTTAAGTAAATAATTCAAGATAATATAGTTTTACTGTTTGGAGGTTTTTTTCATGTAAAGGTAAGTTAATTTTTATGTAGGTATACCTAAAAATACAAATACGTACACTAAAATGAGAATGATCCTATTTGTGTTTACATACAATAACAGAACTTTAATTAAAGAAATTATTACATTTTTCTGAAAAATACTTCATTTATTAATTCTATAACTCTTAATTTTGAAAATTATTGTGAGAGTTTTTATATTTTAACCTAAAATTATTTAAATATGTGAAAAATGTGACAGTGTAAGAACATCGAGTATTTTTTAAAGACACTAATTAGGACAAAGCATATTTTTATGTTTGTGTGCCAAATAGTGAACATCTATTTCCTTTAGTTACTTATTTATTTATTTACTCAGACTGAGAAATACACTAATTTAATTTATCACATTAATATTCCATATTAAGTATTAATTTAATTATTATTTTATTAAAAGAATGAAATAACAATTACTTTTATATTTTGCATTTCTTGACACAAATATGGCTGCTGAGTACTAATTGGTACACCTCAGGTCACAAATAGGGGCAACCTAAAATTTGTCGGACACAAATTGGTACAATAACATCACTTTAAAAAAAAAGAAAATTTAAAATATTTTTATATTAATACTCAAATAAAAATTATTTTCGGCTCAAAAAATGATTACCTTTATATTAATGTGAAAAATTATCTCCATGGAAGAATATATATCGAGTTTTTTCTTTATTAACTAAAGTTAAATTCTTAGTAGGACACTAATTGGGACATTTACCTTAAACAAAGCAATTACTTTTTCACGTTGCAGTAAATGAGACAAAAATTCTGAACGTTCATATAAACGAAATATTTTTTTCAATCTATAAATTATTAAAAATTATGATGTCAATTTAAAATAAAACAGTAAATTAAACAAATATTAAAATAATAATTTCTTTTAAGATATTTAAAAAAAAATTTTGTAATAAAATTCGTATTTAAAGAAGTTGAAAAAAAAATTTCATTCATTTGAACGTTCAATAAACTTTTGGCTCATTTGCAGTAATTATTGTATTTGCAAAAATTTGAGAGAAATGAAATTGTATGTTTGTATACGCGGAGAATAACGCAATATTTTTTTTTTATTTTATTTATTCACGTTTATACAGAAACTTTAGACTTTAATGTTATATGTAAATTATTTTTAATACATTAAGTTGATATATTGTAAAAAGTTATAAAATACCACGACAAAAATATTCGCACTCAATTTTAACTTCAAAATTATTTTTATTTCCATCACATCCACCGTAAATAAATTGTCGACATGATTTTTCTGAAGGAACGTAACCATATCGTGGTATGCGTGCTCTACAAGGTCCAGTCACTAATGGCAGTCTACAAACTGTAAAATAGTAACTTTTTTTTAAATCCTAACACGTTATTATTGAAAACAGTGAAATATTTAATACAAATTGTCTGTCGGATTTTTTTTTCTACAGCCAATTTTTTTTAATATTGCTGTTAACAGAATATAAAAATGTTTAAATATTTTAATTATATAAAATGAATGTAGACATACTTCGGTCTCGATCACGTCCATTTGATTGACCAAATTTCATTATAAACATTATGCAGAATAGTAAAAAGAATGCAAGGAATTTGTTATTCATTTTGAGGAATTTAATTGAAAATTTTTGTTTCAATATTAATTCTAAAGTTTTTTTTTACAATTTACACTGTTCTTTATAAACGTGGATCTAATAAGATTCGTATAAAACATTGTGGACAATAAATAGTCAAACATGTATAACAACAAGTGACGTGCAGTGCTGAAAAAATATTTTTTAAAAATTACCAAACTAACCAAAATTAAAATTTTTTCCTTATTGTGTTTTTTTTAAATAGTATTTATGATAATTTTTATTATTCTTTGTTTTATATTTCAAGACAATATTGTGTTTACTTGTAACGAATATGAAAATTAATTTTTTTTTACTATATTTATTTTTTTTTATTTGACTGTATTTGGGTGATTTCCTGTAGAGAGGGGATTTGTCCTTGTCAACGCGTTTTGTAATTATTCTATAATAAAAAAATATTTTTTTTAAATTATTGGTCAAACAACGACATGTAACAATTTAAGAATAAAAGTATTTAAGAACAGTTCCTCTACGCACAAAACACCCCATTTTTTTCCTGTAGAACCAACAAAATTATTTTGTTAGCCTAACCAAATTTTCGTTGCTGAGACGAAATATTTTTCTATGTATATATATAATTATATATTTTTTTTATAATAATATAATACTGGTGTTATGTTCGCCTCTGGATCAGGACCTTTGAATTAAAAGGGTTTGTTTATAAAAATTATAAAATTATAATTAATTTTATTAATATTAAATAATCATTAAAAAATTAATTATTATAATCTTTAATATAATTAATATACCTATTAATACCGTGAGTGTTAGTTTATTATTTATTTTTATCATTTTTGTGTTAAATTACAGTAAATTTAATTAACATAAAATTTTTATTTTTACAAAAATTGAAGATTTAAAACAAGTAAATATTATTTTGAATGAATTAGTTGATATTGCAAAAAGTTATTCAACACCACGACAAAAGTTTTCGCACTCTACTCTCCATTTAAAATTATTTTCATTTCCATCACATCCACCATAAATAAATTGTCGACATGATTTTTCTGAAGGAACGTAACCATATCGTGGTATGCGTGCTCTACAAGGTCCAGTCAATAATGGCAGTCTACAAACTGTAAGAATTTTATTTTTTTTTTTCATTCAATTTTTAACTTTTATGAAATATTTTATGTATGTTGATTATTTTTTTTTGTCTGTAGGTAAAATTTAATAAATATTGTTAACAGAATATAAAAATGTTTCTACTTTAATTATAAAATAAATGTAGATATACTTCGGTCTCGATGATGTCCATTTGATTGGCCAAATTCCATTATAAACATGACGCAGAATAGTAAAAATAATGCAAAAAATTTGTAATTCATTTTGAGGAATTTAATTGAAAATTTTTTCAATATTAATTTTCGATTTTTTTTTAAATAAAATTTTTACAATAATTCTTTCTGTATGCAAGCAGATCTAAGAAGATACGTAAAACACTGAAGACTATAAATACGCAAATATGTATTACATCAAATGACGTACAGTGCTGAAAAAATATTTTTTAATATTTGAAACTAATCAAAATTAAAATTTTTTCCTTGTTGTGCTTTTTTTTAACAAAATGGTATTTATGATCATTTTTATTATACTCTCTAAATCTGAATTAGTAAAAATGTTTACTAATTTAAATTAGTGACTTACTTTTTGCTTTAGAATTAGTTAAATTTTACTAATTGTTAGTAAAAGTTTTTAGTTAAAAAATTTTTTTTTTATGTTTTAGTTGTTTTACTAATAATTAGTAAAATTTAACTAATTCTAAAGCAAAAAGTGAGTTACTAATTCAAATAAGTAAACATTTTTACTAATTCAGATTTAGAGAGTACTTTTTTAGGATTGATAGAAAAAACGTATATTAGCGTTAAATTATTAAAAAAAAGTTTAAAAAGTTATACTTTTAATGGAAAATAACAAACATAATGACAGACGGATTTCGCATGAGTGTACGAAGCTGAAGCACGCAACGTTTATATAAACGATTTTTAAAAAAAAAATTTTTTAAAATGAAAAATTCTATAATTTTTTGCCTAAAAAATATTTCTTGTAGTTTTCATTAATCAACAAATTATAAAAAATTATTTTTTAGGCAAAAAATTATAGAATTTTTCATTTTAAAAAATTATTTCTTTAAAAATCGTTCATATAAACCACCCCGGTGACACGACTTATGGCGCACTCACACCTTTTTTGGCTGCCTGCAGGTTACCATGTCAACGCACGAGTGTGAGTGAGACAGAAAATTTGAATATTCAAATTTTTAAATTTTCTGTCGCACTCACTCTCATGCGTTGCCATGGTAACCTGCAGGCAGCCAAAAAAGGTGTGAGAGCGCCTTTACGCTTCGCCCTGTACCAATGTGTCAAATGTGTTGAAAATGGCCACCAGTTGGCGCTGATAGTAACTTTGTCCTATAAAAGCGTGTAATGCATTGCGAAAAACTATATAATTATTCAAAAAAATCTACTAAAACATTTTGTTTTTAAATAATAAATAAATTCTCACATATTTCATTAGACGCAATTATCGTAAAGTATTTAATAATAAAAATAATTGATAAAGTGAAAATAGTAAAACTATAGATATATTATTAATACGCTCTTTTTAAATACATTTTATTTACTGTAATTTTTTTTGTAAAAATTTATATATATATTTATGTAACAAAATATAAATTTATAACTTAATAAATTTAATTAATATTCGGTTAATTTGGCTGCCTTCTTTTTTTGTAAATTTAGTTTTTTTACATCTGACAAGTAAATTTTACTAAATTGCCTCATTCTATTTTGTAAATAGAAAAGAACTATAAAAGCTAAAACTTCGCTTCCATGCTTAAAACAATTAACAAAAAATAAATTTTCCTTTGTTATGTCATTTATGACAAGGTCAAAAACATTACTTTTTTTACAATGAAGTGAAAAAGAATTTTCGATGGATTTAATGAAAGAAAATAATTTAAAATTTGGATGGCGAATCTGATCATTTTCATCATAAGTAATGATTTTGGAAATTGGATGGTTCGCTTGATTAGAATTTTTATCACAAAATAGTGCAGAATTGCAATCAAAACAATTTCTTTTTTTCATTCTTTCACAGATTTGTCCTGTAACATAATACATTAGACAATCCACAATATACGGCAGATCATAATCATGATCTACAACATCTGTAAAGTCAGAAAAATCGCTATCTTCATCCATAATGGCTTCATTTAATTTCTTTTCAATTATTTGTAAAAAATCTTCTTTTAGTTTATTATTTATTTTTATCATTTTTGAGTTAAATTTTAGTCAATTACAGTAAATTTAATTGACATTAAATAAAAACAAAGTGTACTCTTTGAATTTACTATTATTTATTATTATTATTATATTATAGCATTGTATTTTAGGTTTTTTATTTTTACAACAATTGAAGATTTAAAAGAGGTAAATTATTTTAAAGACATTTTGAAGTTGATTGTATAAAGTTAGTTTACATCTCGACAAAATCTTTCACACTCATTTTTTGTTCTAAAATTATTTGCATTCCCATCACATCCACCATAAATAAATTGTTGACATGCTCTTACTGAAGGAACGTAACCATATCGTCGAATCAATGCTTCACAAGGTCCAGTCACTAGTGGTAGTCTACAAACTGTAAAAAAAATTTTTTTTTAATTTTAATTAATTCTTTAATCTTTATAGAAACAAATTTTTATGAAAATAGTGAAATATTAAATAATTCTACAATAACATTTTCAAAAAAAATTCTTTTTAACAGAATATAAAATTGTGTATACTTTTATTGTAAAATCTTTATAAAATAATGATAAATTTTTTAAAAAATTTTTCTTTAGATTAAAATTAATGAAAAAAAATTTCATTCATTTTAACATTTGAAATTTTAGACACATTTAAAGTCTAATAGTCGTTTATGACAATATAGTACAAAAGTATCATATAGAAATTTACAAATATATTTGTAAAATGAACATACTTCGTTCTCGATTATTTCCATTTGATTGGACAAATTCCGTTATAAACATGACGCAGAATAGTAAAAAAAATGTAAGAAATTTATAATTCATTTTGAGGAATTTAATTGAAAATTTTCAATTTTTCAATATTAATTCCGTAGGTTTCAAAATTAGAAAAAAAAATATATATATATATATTTTTTTTTAAATACTCCTTTATTCAGGAAAACGGATCTAATAAGATCCGTGAAATAATTTTCGACTATAAATAGTAAGACAGATATCACAACAAGTGACGTGAAGTACTGAAAAAATATTTTATTGTTTGAAAATTACTAAATTGACCAATGAATGGTTAATATAATTGTTTATTTATATAAATTAAAATTTTTTTCCTTATTATGCTATTTTGAAAAAGTGTATATGTGAAAATTTTTATTATTCTTTGTTTTACATTTAAATATGCATGCAATTGAAGGTTTTAGTTTTAAAGAGTACCAAATTAAAATTTTTTTTTACATTTTTCTATTTGACCGTAAAAGGTTGACTCTTTTTAAAGAGGGTATTTTCCTCAGTATATATTTGTATAATTTTGTTTTTAGACAATTTCATTAAAATTATTAATGTCTCTTTAAAATGAATTCATCTAAATTTATTTTCGTTTTATAATATTTGACCTAATTTTAAGGTTATGTTTGTTGTTAACAATCTCGTTAAATCTAAACTGACCTGAAATAATCTCAAAATCAGCAGGTTATTTAATTCAATAATAATTTCGTTTCTTAAGGGGACTTTCTGGTTTAGAATTTCAAAAAAATCGATTTTTTTTTTGCTTAAAAATGTTCCATAGTATCATAGAATTACTGTCCCAAAACGTTTTTTAAAAAATATGTACAAAAACAAAAGTTATAACAATATTTATGACGGTATGTATTTCAACAACAATCTACAGTTATCTTATTTACATATTTGGTGTTCCTCTTTTATTGATATTAGCTTGAAACATGTTACTCGAGGGTTTTTGGGGTCGCTGATTACGAATTTGATGTCAGTTTTTGAAAATACAAAATGGCGGATCCAATATGGCGGACGAAAAAATAAAAATTCAACCGGATTTGCTTAAAACTTGTTACTCGGGGGTTTTTGGGGTCGCTGATTACGAATTTGATGTCAGTTTTTGAAAATACAAAATGGTGGATCTAATATGGCGGACAACGATTAAGCAATTAATTAAATTTAGTTGAAAATCCGCCATTTTGAATTTTCAAAAACGGACATCAAATTCGTAATCAGCGACCCCAAAAACCCCCGAGTACCAAGTTTTAAGCAAATCCGGTTGAATTTTTATTTTTTCGTCCGCCATATTGGATCCGCCATTTTGGATTTTCCAAAACGGACATCAAATTCGTAATCAGCGACCCCAAAAACAGCGGGATACGAAGTTCTGTTGTAATAAAAAGTTGTTTGATATTCATGACTCAATGAATTATGTTATGAAAACTTTGAACGCGTTTTTCTCGAAAACTCATTTTTCAAACTGGTACAGAGCTTTTCTCGAAATCTACCGAACCGATTTTGAAATCCCAAAATTTTTTCGATTCTTTATTTAAAAAACTGGTGCCTAAACCTCTAAAAACTCATATTTCTACCCCCTGTGCTTTTATATGGAGGTAAATTGACCCAAAAACACGGCGTTTTTGCGAGTTTTTGAGAAAAATGTACATAAAAAATAAAAAAACCTTTAAAAAAAATCGTTTTTGAGGTTTAGGCACAAGAATAAATCCTTATGAAGAGATTCCCGTTTGGAACTTGAATTTATGTATTACAAGTTGCCCGGAATCTAACGTACCAAAAAAAAGGTATCTTTTGGAAGACGCCACCTACAGCTATGAAATTGAACTAAATACACTTAAACATATTTTTTAAATTTTCTCTACGCAATGTGCTACAATGTCCAAAAATAGTTTTTACAATTTCTTTAATACTGTTCTTACAATAAAAGTTTTAAAACCTTCCTTTTTTGTCAATTCTAAACCAGAAAGTCCCCTTAACTGACTTTTACCTAATTAATTAAAAAAAGACGTTGTTGTACTCTACATTTAACGGGCATAAAATTTTTCTAACAATTAAAGATTTAAAAGAAGTAAATTATTTTGAAGACAATTTTGAAGTTGATTTTAAAAAGTTAATTTACACCTCGACAAAATTTTTCACATTCATCTTTTGTTTTAAAATTATTTTCATTTCCATCACAGCCACCATAAATAAATCGTTGACATGATTTTTTTGAAGGAACGTAACCATATCGTCGAAAGTATGCCTTGCAAGGTCCAGTCACTAAAGGCAGTCTACAAACTGCAAATAAATTTTTTTTTTTAATCTTTATAATAGCGCAGATTTTTATGAAAAAATAGTGAAATATTAAATATTTAATTTTACTTATGTCATAATTTTTTAATTAAGTTTCAAAAATTATTAGTCAAGTTTAAATATTTTTTATTATAACATAACTTAAAAATGTTAAAATTTTCATACTCTGTTATAGTATTGTACTTAAATTTAATTTTAAATATATTTATTATAAAATAAACATTTAGACATACTTCGTTCACGATGATGTCCATTTGATTGGCCAAATTCTATTGTAAATGTAACGCAGAATAGCAAAAAGAATACAAGAAATTTATAATTCATTTTGAGTAATTTAATTGAAATTTTTCAATTTTTCAATATTAATTCCGTAGGTTTCAAATTAAAATTTTTTTTTTTTTTTTTTTTTGAACAACACTTCTTTATTCAGGGAAACGGATTTAATAAGATCCGTTAAACAATTGTCGACTATAAATAGTAAGACAGATATCACAACAAGTGACGTGTAGTTCTGAAAAAATATCTTTTAATGTTTTAAAAATTAACAACTGACCAATCAATGATTACTATTATAAATGTTTTTTTTTTTTTATCTAATTTTAATTTTTTTTCCTTATTATGGAATCCTTTAATACGTGATTGTGATCATTTTTATTTAATTTTTTTCTTTATATTTCAATAAAACTTTCAATACAAAACTTTTTTTTCTTCTTTCTATTTAATAAATTTCTAGCTCAAAATTTCTAATGTGGACCACTAATTTTTTTGGAATGAAATTTTTATGTGTCATATCAATAATTTTGTTATTTATAGCGTTCACATCTTTTTTTTAATTTCTTGTAATAAAACAGAGAATCATAATTGACCAGAACAAAAATACGGAATTTGGTGGAGAAGTATATTTAATTTTTATTTGTTTATAATAATTGTTGTTATTTTAAACAAATTAAGGACTGCTTCAACAGTAAAAAAATAATTTCTAATTTATTGCTTAAAAATTGTTTAATAAATAAATAAATATTTAATACGGAAAATTTTTTTGCTGGTATTAATGTAAAAATTTCTCATCACCAGATATATAAAAATATATTTCTATATTATAAAGTAGAATTTGTTAATACACTTTAAAAATGTATTAGCAGTCATATTTTGTAACTGAATGTGTTAGTTCATTGTCTGTCATTACTATATGCGAAAATACATAAAAACTGTACAGTAAACTTTCATTTTTATCAAATTGGTCGTATACGAGCAATTTATGAAAGGTTTCACGAGTCCTTTTATAAACGTGACCCCCTCAGATTTATTGAAATGTCTACTATACCAATTTATATGGAAACTTGAGGCCATAATGTCAGTGTCTTTTTTTTGGGGCGCATGCTATTTAAAGAGTTTGCTGTAAAAAAATTTTAAAACCATCCTCCATTACATTGTACAATATTTTACATTAAAACACAGTTTTTTTATAGTTTGGTGACAGAAATATTTATTTATTGAAATATTAATTAGAAATAAATTAATTAAAATTACACATTTTTTTTAACCAGTTTGTCAATTTATTACTCTCTAAATTTGAATCAGTGAAAAAGTCACTGGTCTCAAATCAGTCGCTAAATTCTAGCTATTTGAATCAGTAACATTTCACTGATTTTCAGTCAAAGTAATTGATTCACTGATTCAAATAGCTAGAATTTAGCGAATGATTTGAGACCAGTGACTTTTTCACTGATTCATATTTAGAGAGTATATAATAAAATAATTGAAACTAAATAAATTTCTTTGATAGTTATTTTTATTTTACAGAACAAAGAGAATATTAAAATTTATTTATGTCGAAATAAAAAAAAAATTATTCGAGGAAAATAATATATAGGAAAAATTTAATCATAAATAAACAATAAAATAAATAATTAAAAAAAATTGCAATACACATACAATGCAAATAAATGTCAGCATTATCAGTCTTTAAAGTCGGTAATTTTTTCATGAATCTTATAATATTCGCTTGCATGAATAAAGAAGTATCATTTAAAAAAAAAATTATTTAAAATTCAAATTTTAAAATATATTTCTTTAAAATGAGTTATAAATTTTTTGCCCTCTTTTCGATATTTTGCATCATGTTTGTGATAGAATTTGGCCAATCAAATGGACAACCAAACCGAAGTAAATCTTTTTTATATATTTGTTTCATAGTTTTTTTTTTTTTTTTTGTTTTTTACAAACTTTTTTAATTATTTTTTTTCATTTTATTCATTTTTTCATTGAGGTGCAATATATTATTTTTGCTTTATTATTAATATTGTGCTTAATTTTTAAAACTAGGACCAATTTAATGTTAAACAATTTTATATAGTCGAGTATATATATATAAAGTATATATGTGAGTATATATATATATATATATATATATATAAATTAAAATTTTTTTGTAAATTTGTCATTATTTTTAGTTTGTAGACTGCCAATAGAGACTGGTGCATGCCCAGGAAGATTTCCACGATATGCATATGTTGTTAGACAAAGATCATGTCAACGATTTATTTGGACTGGATGTGAAGGAAATTCAAATAGTTTTGACACAAAACTTAAGTGCGAAGATTATTGTCGTGGTATTCAATAATTTTTATAAAAATCAACTAATGTGTTTAAAATAACATACAACTTTTCAATCACAAAACAATGTCAAAAAAAAAGAAAAAATGAAATGAAATATATTTTTTTTTATGACATTTAAAAATTGTTTTCGATTTTATTGGTATATGTGCCATTCCAGGAGTTTTTTAGCACTTTTCGGAGTAACCTTTCCAAATTAAATGAAACATTTTTTTAATAATATTTATTAATATAAAGGTCCAAAAAAATCACTTTTTAAGTAAAAACAATTGTTTATTTAAAAAATACAACAATAAATAATGCAAAAAATTCACTTTTTTCCTGCAACTCCAAATAAATTGGTTTAAAGATCAAAATTTTCCTTATTTTTCAAGCTTTAATACCGCACAAGAAATATAGAGTCCGAGAAAATATTCAACTCACAATTTTTTAAACAATGTTTGTTTACTTTTTTGTATTTTATTTACTGTGAAACGTCTGCTAAAGCTGCGCACGACGTTTGGAAGTTGTCGCTTTCCTTATTGAGCAGAAGCTCATTACACTAGCGTAGTAGAAAGCATGTTGTGCGAAAAGTGAGGTTATGTTGTCATTAAACGAAACGTAAACATTTCTGGTTATCACTTTGAATGGTTTTTAATTATCTACCTAGCTGTAAAAATCATAAAAAATATTTTTGAAGGATGAAAAACCTCACTTTTCACACAACATGTTTTTTACTACGCTAGTGTAATGAGCTTCTGCTCAATAAGGAAAGCTACAACTTCCAAACGTCGCGCGCAGCTTTAGTAGACGTTTCACAGTAAAAAAAATACAAAAAAGTAAACAAACATTGTTTAAAAAATTGTGAATTGAATATTTTCTCGGACTCTATGTTTCTTGTGCAGTATTAAAGCTTGAAAAATAAGGAAAATTTTGATCTTTAAACCAATTTATTTGGAGTTGCAGGAAAAAAGTGAATTTTTTGCATTATTTATTGTTGTATTTTTTAAATAAACAATTGTTTTTACTTAAAAAGTGATTTTTTTGGACCTTTATATTAATAAATATTATTAAAAAAATGTTTCATTTAATTTGGAAAGGTTACTCCGAAAAGTGCTAAAAAACTCCTGGAATGTCACATATGTTACTTTTTTTTTTGCATTTTTTTTTCTAAACAAATATTCATATTTGAAGAAGTGAAAACTTTTTTGTTTACTATTAATTAGTTCAATTTTACTAATTCAAAAGCAAAAAGTGAGTTACTAATTCAAAATAGTTAAATTTTTTACTAATTTAGATTTAGAGAGCATAGAGTCTTAAAATGTGTATTTTCATAGATTAATATAATATTAATAATATATAAATACATCAGCTGATGTTCAGCGACTATCAGTAGCGACGTTAGCGCCAGCAAGTGAATCATTTTTTAACTAAATTTCACTTTACTATAAGTAGATTTTACTGATACATTAATAATAATGTTAAAAAAGTTTCACACAAAAGAAAAGTAAATTGACAACAGTTATTTAGTTAGGTAATCAATAAATTTTTATTAAAAATCTTCAATTTCAAACAATAAAAAAATTCAGTTTTAATAATTCATAAAAAGGCAAGTTTTTTGCAGTTTCACTTTATGTATATTGATATCAATAATAAATTCTTAATTTAGTCAAAATAACAGGACATGAAAAAGAAAAAAAAATAACAATAAAAAGTAAATAATGAAATATTAAGCAATAAAAAATATTTTTAACAAAATACAAAATAAGGAAAAAAAATATATTCATTTAAATAAACAATTTTCATAAACTTCAAGTCACTTGTTGCAATAAATGTCTACCTATTTATAATCGGCAATTTTTTTTTTTTTAAATCATATTAAATTCGCTTGCATGAATATAAGAGTATCATTGTCAAAAATTTATTAAAAATTTTAAAAAATCTAAACAAACAAGTTTTCATCAAAAAATCCATTTTGCTGCGTCAAAATGCATTATAAATTTCTTGTACTCTTTTTACTATTCTTCATTACTTTCATGATGGAATTTAGCCAATCAAATGGACAACCAAACCGAAGTAGGTCACTTTTTTTTACACTTGTTTTAGTTTTTTTGTTTTTTAAAAACCATTGTTCAACAACATATGGGCAAATCCACAGAACCGGCCGATTTTTACTTATCAAGATGAAAATTTTCCAAAAAGCAAGCACACCTTTTATTTATGGTTTACTTTCTTTAAAATATATTCAAGAACAATTATCTTCTTGCGTGATTCATTTTATTTTAATGCCGTTTGAGTTAAAAGCCAAAAACGAAAATATTATTTTTCTTCTGGAAATTATAATTAAAAATGGCATTTCTTTGTTTTTTTTATATATTATTTGAAATATGTGCAAAACATTTTGAATAATAAAATATGATAAAATACAAATAATTAATTTTTTAATTATCAAAAATAAATTATTTATATTTTATCATATTTTATTATATATTTTATTTATTAGCATTTAATTTTTTATTTCTGTAAATTAAATTGTTTACTTACTAATTTTGATATTAACTATTTTAACCAACAAACTGACATTATTGACATCGATTTTGATATAACTTTGAAAATAAAACAAATGAAAGGATAATTCATTTTTCACGATTAACTAGTTAAATTTCGATAATTTTTTTTTATTTTTAATTTTTAGACGTTATAAATTGAAAATATAATTTGGCGTTTGCATACAAGAATTATAATAATGTCTTTATATAATCACACATGTTTTCAACTCATCATATTTTATCCTGTAGTTGTGCTACTGAAAAAAGGCTATGTTGAAAATGGTTCACGCTTAAACATAGAGTGATAATTATTGGAATATTTTCTTTAATTCTGATTGCACTCTATTCTATGATACATACATTTGTTCGTCTGTTCACAAGCAATAAGCTCCAATTTGAAAAATTCAAATCGAATAATCGCCGCAAAAGATATTTACAAAAATGTATAGACATTTCATTATTATAAAATAATGAGTAACGCTACTTTCAACGACTATCATTTCTTTTTATTTAAGAGCACATATTTTTTATTACTTTCAAAACATTCTTCAATAAGTAAACTATAATTCACCACAGTTTGGAATTGTTCGGATCTATGCCGAACAAGTTATACCTATAAGAATTAAATATTATACCTGGAGTAACACCGTAAATTTCATTTTTTAAGTTACTTAATTCGATTTTATTTTTTATAAAAGACTAGAAGGTTCACATTTATTCAATTTTCTTATTTCAATAGGTTCTCAGAGATATTACAAAATGGTTGAAGTATGAAAATAATTAATATAATACTTCTAAAATAGAAAAATATATGAGTAACATGAAATCGGCCGGTTCTGTGGATTTGCCCATATGTATGTAATTTTAATTATGTTTATTTCATAAAAATTTTGCATTTTTGTAAATAAATTATCTTTTTTTTTTAGTTTGTAAACTACCACTAGTAACTGGACCATGTCGAGCATATATTTTACGATATGGTTATGTGCGTTCACAAAGATCATGTAAACTATTTGTTTATGGTGGATGTGATGGGAATGAAAATAATTTTGAAAATTGGGATGAGTGCGAAAGATTTTGTCGAGGTGTTAACTAAGTTTTTACAATATCCACTAAATATTTACAAACTTATTCTAAATAATTTACAACTTTTTGAACCAATAAACATTGTCAAATAAATAAAATGTACCTACTTTATATTTATAATTGAGAATTAAAAATTTTTATTTTTTTTAGTTAATAAGTAAATTTAATTTTTTAATTTAATTTTCTAGTTTTAATACATTGAAAAAAAAGTTACATACATTTAGTTAGGCCAACAAAATTATTTGGTTGAACATTTTTAAATTCCAACCCAAAATTTGGTTATGACAAAAAGAAAAATTTGGTTAACACAACAAAATATTTTATTCTAAAAAATCAAATGATCGTTTATTGTCCTAACTAAAATTTGGTTACGACAATCAAATAATTTAATTCGCTCTCAGCTCGTACCTTAAGAGACCAATTTAGTTTAAAACTCTCACAAAGATGAGTAGTCCAGTGGTCATAGCTCCCGACTCGCAGTTTAAAAACAGAGGTTCGATCCCAGGCGGAGATGAGATTTTTCGAAGTCCATAAATATTTTAATTTGATAAATATAAATTAAAATACTTATTAAAATGCTTAAATACCAATAAAATTTTTCTTTTGGCTCAACCAAATTTTGGTTACTCTGACTAAACATTTTTCTAAGTGCACTGAGAAAACTGTTTGGTATCATCTACTGAAGTTTGGTTCTCCAAACCAAATTTTTTATTTGATATATGTGCAACTAATCCGTTTGGTTCGGGCTACTAAATTTTTTCGTTGAATCATTTTGTTCGGTCTACCAAATTTTTTGTTTTGCACAACTAACTTATTGTTTTTAAGCAAACAAAAAATTTAGTTAAATGAAAAAAATTTTGTTCTTTTCTCAACCAAATTATTTTTTGGCTCACACTTATATTTTTTATTTTTCACTTAATTTTATCACTTTTGTTATCCTCTTTTATTCTTTTCTTTGTCTACTTAAATTAATTTCTATTGCGGAAAAACCTAACACTGCTGGGGATCGAACCCTCAGACTACGCAACGCAAATCAAGAACGCTGACCACTACACTAAGAATCCTAGTGACAATGTGAGTGTAAATTATTTTCATAAAGTATACAGGCTGGAGAAAAACTTCCGTTCTTTTAACAAGCTTTATTCTCTCTGTTCGATATGCATCACTACACGGAGAGACCGCCGGTTGGAAAAATTACTAAAAAGATTTACAAGTAGCTGAAATAAGGTTACTTTGTCATACAGCATACTTAATAAAACTGTAGACTATAGTAATTTCTATTCCAATTTGTGTACAATTTTACTATAGTCTACAGGTTTTATTAAGTATGCTGCTAGTAGAATTTTCGATTTCCTACAGCAATATTTGACAATGTAACCTTATTTCCGCTACTTGTAAATTTTTTTAGTAATTTTTCCAACTGGCGGTCTCTCCGTGTACACACACTTTTTTACCGAATTTCTGAAACACATAAAAATCCCGAAAACACTTGAATAAAACTGGACGACACGAAGAGCGAAGCATGGTTAACGTGTGACATATTTACGAGAACAGCGCATGCGCAATTGAGCATTCAGACGGTTTGGTTTGGAGAACCAAATTATTCAGTTAACAATGAGCCAAAAGTTTTGAACGTTCAAATGAACGAAATATTTTTTTGCAACTTCTTTAAGTACGAATTTTATAACAAAATTTTGTTTTAAATATCTAAAAAGAAATTATTATTTTAATAATTGTTTAATTTACTGTTTTATTTTACATTGACATCATAATTTTTGATAATTTATAGATTAAAAAAAATATTTCGTTCATTTGAACGTTCAGAACTTTTGGCTCATCAGTTAACAGACGCAAAAGCTTGAATGAAATTTTTGGTACAGCCAACTAAATTTCTCGATTGATTGCTTCTTTCGTTACTGTTATGTCAACTAAATTTTTGTAATCTTAACTAAAAGTGCTCAACCAAATTATTTTATTAACATTACATTATTATTTTTCTCAGTGTGTATATAACTGTAATTTAATTTTTTAAAATTTTAATATTTGCAATTACATATTATTATATGGTAATGCGTTTTGATATAAAATTCTGTATTCTTTACAGAATACTTTTAAAGTAATGAAAATAATTTATTTGATTATTATAAATAGAATACTTTACAAATAAAGGGAAAAAGAAAAAATAAATTATCAAAAAACAGTCTTTATTAACGAAAGGAAAATAAGGAAAACATTTACTTATACAAATATTTATTTATTCTCCATAAAATAGAATTCATTATCAGAAACTGAATGTATTTTTGCAATAACTGTAAGTCTATATATATAGTCGACAATCTTTTACTAATCTTATTAGATTCGTTTGCATGAAGGAGTGTAGTCGCAACAAAATTTATATAAAAAAAAACTAAAGAATCAAAAGAAAACAATTTTCATTTAACTCTGTAAAAATGCATTACAAATTTTTTACATACTTTTTAATAATGTGCATCATGTTCATTATGGAATTTGACCAATCAAATGGACAACCAAGGCGAGGTAGGTCACTTTTATTTTTCTTTAAGATTTTTTGGTTTTTCACAACTTTAATTTTATTCTAGTACAATTATGTATATATATTTATTTAGTTTTATTTGAAACACTTTTATACCTAAATTAAATTTTTTTAATCACTCTATGTTATATAAAAAGACTAAAATAAGATAAATTTAATATTGAACAAATTTATTGTAATCAATTAAAAGGTTATTTTTTTCATAAAAATGTTGCATTATTGTAAGTGAATAATTTTTTTGCAGTTTGTAGTTTGGGATTTGCATATGGGACATGTAATGGACGTATTTGGAAATTAGGTTATAACAGTGGAAGAGGTGCCTGTGAATTTTTTATTTATAGTGGATGTGGTGGTAATGAAAATAATTTTAACACAAAGGTTGCGTGCGAAAATTATTGTCGAGGCGTTTAATAATTCTTTATAAATAAAATCAAAAAATTTCCTTAATACAATTAACAATTCTGTTTAATTAAAAAACTATTGTTAAACAAAAAGAAAAATGAAATATACTATATTTTATTAAATTAATGTAAAAATTATTGTTACCTTTTTTGTATTGTTCATGATGAATAAGGATCGGGTGAGACGTATTGAAACATTTCTCATAATTTAAACCTAAAAAAATATTTTTTTATATTTTATTGATTAATAAAAACAAAAAAAAAATACTTTTCAGGCAAAAAAATTATAGAATTTTTCATTTTAAAAAATTTCTTTCTTTAAAAATCGTTTATCATAAACGTTGCTTACTTCAGCATCGTAAAATTATTAGATTAGATTTAATTTTCTTTATATTTCCTTATTATATTTTAGATGTCTTAAAAAAATTCCAACTCTATTCAGTCAGTATTTTACAGAAAAAAAGTGGTCGAAAAAATTAACATTGTGGTGATCACGTGATCTAACAATCACATGTTGTCAACGAAATAAATAATAATAAGGATAAAAATATACTTATGCAAACAATTATTTTATCTAAAATACAATAAATTATCAGAAATTAACCAAAACTCATATTATGGCAAATAAATGTCAGACTATACTATAGGCGACAATTTTTCACTTATCTTATAAAAATCGTTTACATGAATCAAAAGTATCGTCGCAAAACAGAATTTATGTATATATAAAACTAAAAAAATAAAAAAAGACATTTTCATTTAATTTGGTGAAAATGCATTACAAATAGTAGTTACTTTAACTATTTTCCAGTCAACTATCCAACGGTAGTTGAAGATCTAATAATTAATTAAGAATTGTTCAATTACAAAACTATTGTCAAAGAAAATAAATACGCTTTATTTTTCTTTACGTTTATTTAAAAATTATTATTTTTTGTGTTATTGACATTTTTTGTCTTAAGACAATTTTCACTTGCTTGTACTTTAAAATGTATTTAAAATTATTATAACGTAGATTTTAATTTATGATTGATTTCATTTTATATTGTAATTAATTTATTATTATATTTTAAATTCAATCTACGTACGTTATCTATACTTTTTAATTATTAATTTGCCAAGACGCAAAGTTATTTTATGGAAAATAACTAAACCTAGAAAAATAGTTAAATAGCCTGACAAGTAAATTTTATAATTCTACTTCTACAAAACTAAATTTACACTACGGACACCGGAATAAGAATGAGAGAAAATGGCATTCAGAGTTGCCAATGACCATTCCTAAACGCTACTGCGCTTGCGCTACGACAACCCTCTTATAGGTCGAAAAAAGCGCGCTTATATAAAATGCTTAAGAATAAGAAAACTTTAATAAAGCACCTCCATGAAGTTGGCGTCGACGCTCAGCACCGAAAATTGATTTTCACAGGACCAAAAATGTCAAATTATTTTTTTTTTTTTATCGATAATTGATACGCGGTCGTCGGTAACGCAGATTTATTATTTGAGCAGATAACAAGTTTTTTGAGAGGAAAAATTTGACAAAAAAAAAAATATTTTTAAAAATCTATTTGACATGTTTTTATAAATAAAAATTTCTAATCTTAGGTATTATTTTTGAAGACTGTTTTCATGAAAAATAAATTTTATTGTTTTGCATTTTTATAAATTTATAAATTAAAAAAAATTGTTTGGTTTTTAAAAAATAGCGCCTAAGGTGGTTGACATGCAAATGATTTATTTATGGGAATTTAAGTGTAAATTTTTGATTCAAAATTGATAAATGTATTTTAATATTGATAATTAAATTATATTTACCACTGAATTGGAAATTCTTCAAGACAAACCACAATTACGAATGTAGGCATAAACTTTTGTTGCACAAGCAACATATATATATATATATATATTTTTTTTTATGTGCGGATATGCGCAAAAGTATAAAGTGTCGTTTATCATAACTTATATTACTCCTGGCATTTACTCCACGTTTTCATTTGAAAACATCGTCCTTTACCATTAATGTTGTACTTAAGCAAGTGCAAAAAGAGGGTACATATATACATTTTTACAGGCATACATACATATATATGCGTATGAAGTATATATGAACATTCGAGTGTACATGTTAACATGGCGCACAAGTGTGGACACGTGTTTATGTTTATGTGTCCAACGAAGTTCGCACCTGTAAAGTAATAATACTAATGTTTCTTCGCGTGCATCCGACTTTTTATGAGCTTTTTCTTGCACACACGCGACGGTCTATACGACTTACGCTTTTACGTACAAATGAGTAATGTTTTCGAGCTTTTGCGACAAACTCCCAAGAGCACACAGCTGATGTCGTCTTAATGCATTTTTTCCGAATACAAATAAATTTTATCCAACCTCCACATTTTCCTATATAACGATCTGTATGAAAAAATATTTATAGAACTGAAAAAATTTGTTTTCTTTTTCTTTCAACAAATTTTGTTTTTCATATTATAATTTTATTCCTGTGCTTTTTCTGATTTAAATAAATTATTTTAAAGGATTATAAACTAATATTGGATGTAAAAATGTAAAGATAATGTGGCTATGTGGTTAGAGTACAAGGCTCGCGTCCCAAGGGTCCTGGGTTCGATCCCGAGATTTTTGAGAGAGAGAGAGAGAGAGAGAGAGAGATTTGTGAGATTTTTCATAATTATTCTTGTGCTATAAATACTTTATATGTAATAATTTTAAATAGAAGATAAGTGAAAAATAAAAAAATTGTAATGACCGTCATTTATTTAAAATAAAAATTATCGCAACGAGAATGCAAAAAGGCAGCCATGTTTGTCGTCGCAATGACACGCGCGCACACACACACATAGCAGCAACTAAGGCTCCCTCAAGTTGTTTACATATATGTGTGTGTGTGTGCGCGCGCGCGCGCGTGACGTTGCGACGACAAACATGGCTGCTTTTTTACATTCTCGTTGCGAACGAAAGTACGGTTTCGCTATTTTCCTCGTATTTTCTTTATTTATATTCGAATCAGTTTGAAATTGTGGGAAAAACTTCCTGATTAGTAAAGGAAAAACTTTCTCGCGAGAAGTTTTCATAATTTGAAAATTCATCGCATACTTTTTTGTGTAGAAAAGTGAAATTCCTCTATTTGTAAATGACGTCTTTTAAAATTTTTTAATAAATAAATAATGTGATTTTTCTTATTTTTTATAGCTTGTAGGCTTCTGTTGTGTATATTGTGTATGCTTACAAAATTTCACAAAATTTCGTCAATATTTGACCGAAAAAGGACGATATATTTATCAAAAAGTACAAATTTATTTTCGAAAAAAAATTTTTTCAGTTTTCATTTTTTAGTACTAATAAATTACATTTTAGAAAAAAGTTTCAAATAGATAAAATATGTATTTTTTTCTTCTGCATAAACTAATATTTTTTAAATATTTTATTTATGAGTTTTAAAATTTGATGGTATAGTGGAGGGTCGGACAATACTTCTGCGTGAGTTCGAGCGAAGAATCGGTTCTACAATCCGGCTCCTCAATTTATATCAATCATGGCCGAATTGAATCGACTCAAAATTAAACGAATTTTTTTCAGATATTTTGGTAATAGTACAATTGCGGAGACCATTTCACTATTTAATTTGAAAATGAAAATAACAGAAAATCAAAGACAATGTGCAATTCGATAATTAAAAATTGACAACAAGCTTATAAACATAACCTAAAATGCATGAGAAAAAATTTGTCGATAAAATCAATATAGCCGAGCTTTTTAGAAGGTAGATGGCAGTTTTGCTTTTTATAAAAACGATTCAGAAAAAATTTAAAGAAAGAAAATAGATAAGTTTCATTTCTAAAAATGATACACAAAACGATCTCTTTTTGATATAACTTATGTGCATCAAAACGTTGCAAAGATTTGATGCAATTTTTGGTCTCAATTTGATACTTTTAGGAAAACTGTGTTATCGATTTTTAATAATTCTTTTTTTTATACGTCTAGACATTAATTTTAAATTAGTCTGAAAATGTCAATTTTGAAATTTATTTTCAATCTGTGTTCTATATCATTATTTATTCACATATTTGTAAATTTTTCAACTTAACAAAGATTATTTCGAAACATTTTTTCATATAACTGAAAAATTAATTTATAAGAAAGCTGAAAAGCAAGATTGATTATTAATATAATCATTACTGTCAAATTATATGAAAAATCGTCTGCGAGATGAAAAACAAATCCTTAAAAACTGCAATAATTTTAATTATTTAAATATAGTCTTACATGATATAATTTTGTTTACGAGTTTAATTTTATTTGTGTATATAAAAAAAACTCTTTGATTTTATATAATAAGGCCAATGGTATAAATACTTTATGTATAAAAATTTTAGATACTCACTTTTTTCATTAGACCTCGCAAAATTATTTCAAATTTCATTCATATAATTCTGATGTGATGAAATATTGCCAAGCGAATATATTACTCTCCGCATATCCGACAAGTTTAGGTTATATTTTATATAACGAAATAAATATATCAAGATTTAAAAATTTCAATTAAGTTTGTTTAATTGTAAAATTAAATGGCGTAATTTATTTTAAAAAATCTATTCTACCACTTTGATCATGAGTTTTTGTATTTCATATATACATATATATCAACTCTACTCGCCAGACCGTTTATAATATGAGACTTAATTCCAGTCTGCTGGAATCATATGTGGAAAGAATTTTTCCTCCACACTTAGTCGTATAATTGCCATAATTAGTTTTAATTTTACATAATTATGTAAAGTTAGTGATGTTAATTCAAATCTGCAAATTCCCATATTATATTTATAATTATAAGATTCCTGTCAGAGTTTTGAATTTTTTTTTTTAACGTGACAACATCTTACTCCGAAGCCTAGGGAGACAGTCAGAAAGATTTTTGTGTTATTCGATTACTTTCGATCTAATCGCGATGCCAAACTTATTTTTGTCAACTTTGGAAATGAAATTTTTTTTTATAGTTTTCTATATTACCAACCTGTTAAAG